CTTCTATACCTCATCACATGTAGTTGCCCTCTCCCCACTTCTATACCTCATCACATGTAGTTGCCCTCTCCCCACTTCTATACCTCATCAGATGTAACCATTCTCTCTCCATAGCCTGTCTAAATCTGACTTCTTAAAAGTGCAAAGTATGAATGATAATATCTGAGTAATGAAAATTTAACCTGAGTACCCATTTTACTTCTGGTAAGCTGAATCTTTATATGTGACTTCTTCTTGTTCTCTGGCACATTATAGTGCGATTCAGGTAGGAAGTGAAGTATATGGGTTAACAGGGTTTTCAGTGACACTTTGATGAATGATGTTTGCAGTAATATGCATTGTGGCGTGACCCACATACATACCTGTAATTGAACATATCGACCTGCCTGCCTTGTGTGTAACGGCATGTCTGTCTGATGGGCTCTTTTTAGGTCAGCCCTTCAGACTGGACCCTAAGTCAGCCCACAGGAAGCTGAGGGTTTCCCACGACAACCTGACAGTGGAGCGTGAGGAGACATCGTCCAAGAAGAGCCACGCGCAAGACCGCTTTTCCAGCCAAGGCAACTACGGTGTCTCCGGAAACGTGTACATCGACAGCGGACGGCACTACTGGGAGGCCCTGATTGGTGGGAGCACATGGTATGGAAGCTGATTTCTGGGCTGATGATGGCATCTGCCAATCATTTAATGGGATGGTCATATTTAACCACATCCAGATATCTGCTAGTCTGCCAATCATTTAACAGGACGCTCATGTGCAACCACACCTAGATATCTGTCAGTCCACCAATCATTAAACAGGATGCTCATATTTAACCACACCGAGATATCTGCAAATCTGCCAATCATTTAATAGGATGGTCATATTTAATTACACCCAGATATCTGCCAATCTACCAATCATTTAACGGGAGGCTCATATGCAACCACACCTAGATATCTGCCAATCTGCCAGTCAGTTAACCACATATTATTCTTGCAGTTTTTCTCAGTTGCTTTGGTACAAAAAAAAAAAATTGTACAAACTGCACCAATGGATTTCCCGCAAAAGCCTGTAACTTTCTCAAAATCTTTAGTTTATCCCTCAAAAGTAAATATTTATGTGAATGAACTTGTCAGTGCACCAGAATGATAAGTCTTTGTCATTGTTCATGAACAAGATAGTCAAAATACCTAACCAAATTGTCATTAGAACAGCGTATTCTAAGTATTTTCCAGTGTAAACCATGACTATGGTTTTGATGACAATGATTGAAAATGTATAAAGTTGTACTTTTTCTGTATGGCACATATGCATTTCAACAGGACAATGTTACATATTCTGTGACACACAATCACACACATATAAGTAAAGACAGGTCAGGTCAGGTTGGGGAGCATGTGCTGATGCAGCGCATTGCCTCACCCACGACATGGCGAAATTCCTCGGGATTCCAGCTGACGACCTCCCAGGCAGACACACGGCCCAGTCCCACCCTCCGGAAATGGCCATCCATCTGACACAGCCAGGTGTTACGTGGGCGTCCCCTCGGCCTGGTCCAGCCACTTGGATTCTCAAAACTGAGGATCCTATGAGCCAGATCACCCTCGGGGAATCGCACCACAAGACCATAGTGCCGTAACTGATGCTCCCTCACAATGCAGGTAATGTGCCTCATTCGGGACTCATCTAGCAACCAGTCATTCAACACAAAGTCAAACCAGTGGTGCCCAAGGATTCTCCGAAGAGACACAGTACCAAAGGAGTCAGTCTTCGTCTCAGGTCACTGGATAGCATCCATGTCTCACAGCCATACAGCAAGACAGGGAGCACCAGGACTCTAAAGACTTGGACCTTTGTCCTCTTGCAAAGATATCGGGAACGCCACACACCCCTTTCCAGTGACCTCATGGCCCCCCCCCCCCCATGCTCTCTCAATCTGTCGCTGACTTCATAGGAAGAGTCACCCGAGACATGAATGTTGCTGTCAAGGTAAGTAAGTCTTGCGACAAGGTCGACATTCTCAAACAGACACACTATTGATGGCGGTGTCTAAGAAGTCATTAAATGCCTGGATCTTGCTCTTTATCCAGGACACCCGTAATCCCAGACACTCAGACTCCTCTCTCAGTCTCTCGAGAGCCCCGATCAGAGCCTCCATTGACTCCACTAAGATCATAGCATCATTGGCAAATTCAAGATCAGTAAATCTTTCTTCATTAATGGATGCCCCACAGCTGCTAGATCCCATGACCCTGCCCAACACCCCGTCTATACAAGCACTGAAGAGAGTAGGAGCAAGAGCACACCCCTGGTGAACCCCAGAATCAACTGGGAAGAATGCGGAGATTCTCCCCCCACTGTGCACAGCACTCACAGTACCAGTGTACAGGTCGGCCGTGACATCCAGCAACTTGTCCACGAAGTCTCAGGATGTCCCACAGGTCATCTTGAACAACTGAAAGTAACTGTAACTTTAATTTAAAATAAAGTTGTCCTCCGAAGAGGAGGGAGATGGTGGGCAGAAAAGAAAAGAACAACTGAGTCAAATGCTTTATGGAACCTCAACGAACCTCTGCCAATATTTGCGCTTGTGCTCAATGAGAACCCTCAGTGTCAGGATACAGTCGGTGTTAGACTTCTTAGGCGTGACACCAGACTGCTCCGGTTGCTGACAGGCAAGCGAGTGATCACAGATCCTGTTAATGGTGACCCTTTGAAGTACCTTACCCGGCACTGAGAGCGGTGTTATCCCTCTGTAGTGGCCACAATCCAGGCGATCACTCTTCCCTTTCCAGATAGGGACTACAAGAGCAGCAAAGATTGCTTGCAATACCAGGAGGACAGCCTTACCACCAGCCTGGAGAAGTTCACCCCGGATACCACAGATCCCTGCGGCCTCCCCTACCCGGGAGTGAGATTGGGTGGTTCACAGCTGATTGGAGGATCAGCCTCGAGAACCGTGGACCCAGAGATGCCCAACATCCTAGCTGGAGGATCAGCTTTAAACAACTGCTCAAAGTAGCCTGCCCAGCAGGTCACAACTGCAGTGTCATCTGTAAGGACCGTTCCATCACCCGCCCTGACTGCAAGTCTCCGAGGAACAGATTCAGATGTGCATAATGCTTCGAGCCCTCGCGGCTGTCCTCCTTAGTTCCTGATACAGACTGAAGTTGCCAGCAAGGCCTGCGCTGTGACTCTCATTAATATCCAGGGTACCCTGTGAGATGAAACCCCTCCTTCTGGGAACACCGGCAACACCAACACAATTATCGGCAACCTTCAGGGTCTTATCACAGAAGGTCTCCCACATCACATTAGAGTAACCAGTTTTTGATTTTTTTTTATCTGATTTGAGGGTCACTTGGGGTCAGTGCTGTAATATCCTTCTCCTGCATTGGGGATTTGATCTCCGGGTGGAATGTGTGGGTGTTTGTGTAACTTTTCCATGGTCTCTATGTGATTGTGTGAAGGATTTCTGTTGGCTTAGGTGGATTGGCATTAATACCAGTTTCTCTTGGTGTGTGTGCCCTGTGACAGGTACCCAGCCATTCTGAGACCAATTTTTTACCTCTTTTATTTCTATTAACCATTATGGTGCAGATGTATTTTGAAAATGAATGCCATGACCAGTGACTGTATGGTTTTGCACAAAGATTCCCCATTTATTTGTCCCCAAAAACCAGATCCCATAAACAACATAAACCCAAGGGCCATTGATTGTTCATGCAAACCAAGAATTTGACATGAACTGAATTAGGCTGCAGAGGAAAAATTTGTTGCTGATGTCATGTTTGGTCCAGGTTAAATGGTTCTGACTGTCCCATGGTCTTGGCAGGTATGCAGTGGGAATCGCCTACAAATCAGCTCCGAAGCACGAGTGGGTCGGCAAGAACTCGTCCTCCTGGGTCCTGTGCCGCTGTAATAACTCCTGGCTGGTGCGGCACAACGGGAAGGAGGCGGTGGTGGAGCCCTCGCCACACCTGCGGCGCGTGGGCGTGCTGCTGGACTACGACGGAGGCTCACTGGCCTTCCACGACGCCGTCAGCTCGCAGCACCTCTACACCTTTGACATCGCCTTTGCCCAGCCCGTCTGCCCTGTCTTTAGCGTCTGGAACAAGTGCCTGACCGTGCTGAGTGGGCTGCCCATCCCCGATCACCTGGAGAACGTGGATCTGGACAATTAGGGGACACCCAGGGACAGGAGAATTCCACGAGCAGTCGGGCCGTCTCGACTCATCCGGGCAGATTTGTGTTCCTGTGCTGTGTGAATTTTAAACAGAAGCCATGGTTTAAAGTATTTTTACTTTAGCTTATACTGGTAAATAGCTATAAATTATTTATGGGGAAAAACAGATTAGAAATATTGTAAATTTCTTCCTGCTTTGCACATTCTTTACTGTGATATTTATATGTAGAGGACTTTGGGCTGATGAATGGTATACAGTATAGAGAAGATTATGTTCGTGCAATCCTGTAGATTTTACCTGGAGAGGTAACCAGCACTGTCACTGGGCTCACGTTGCTCCCAGATAGCAGGAGAGGAGCTAAAAACGAAATGACTCTGATGTACAACCGGGAAGCAAAGCGAAAGGTCGGCTTCCTGTGGCGTGTGGAATGGAGGTCTCCTCATCTCATCTCATCTCATCTCATCTCATCTCAATCTTCTCCTAGTCTGAGGAGGTGCAGTCCTCTCATCTCCTCCTCTCCTGGTCTGTGGAAGTACGATCCTTTCATCTCCTCCTCTCCTGGTCTGAGGAAGTACGATCCTTTCATCTCCTCCTCTCCTGGTCTGAGGAAGTACGATCCTTTCATCTCCTCCTCTCCTGGTCTGAGGA